TAGGTGAACCCTGAAAACTCAGCAGCCACTAACTGAGGACTGAATTCTTACCCATCAAAACTGGTGCTGTCCAAGGTAATAGTGAATTGTGTTTATGTTTGTTCAGCCAGTTGTAATTGTAAAGGGAATTGGTCCTGAATTCTGATCAAAATTGTATGATATAACATTATAAAGAACATTTCTAGGGGTAGTAAAGATATTCCTAGATCAGCTGGAAGCAAAGGGAGGTGAATCTTCTGTTCTACACCACACCTGGAGTGCTGTGTTCAGTTCTGGGCTCATAGAGCAGGAGAGACATGGACAGAAGAGGGCCCAGGGCAGTGGCACGAAGGTGACTGGGAGTGCATCTCTCCCATGAGCAGGGATGGGGAGCTGGGACTGTTTAGCCTGGGGATGGAAGGCTTAGGGGCAAACTTAGCAATGTGTACAAATTCCTGAAGTGCAAAGAGACCTGGGCCAGGCTAACTTCTGTAACACTAACCCTTATGTGACAAATTGAGGCATCTTCATTCTAATTCCTCTGCTTTTCTGGTTAGCACTGAAGTAAAATAATGATTTTCATGAGAAAGTAATTTCATCTGAATGAGTAATTTTGTTTTTCCTTCTGTATTGGGTTGATCTTTTCAAGTGCCAGGCCTCTAAATTAAACTGTTTCCCTAATGAAACAACCAATCTCGGTGAGCTAGGATTGGCTTCCAGGAAATGGAAGGGAAGGAAATCTCCCTTTTTAGGGCTAGAATGTAAGCAGTTATGGAATTTCAGTATCTGGAATGCTTAAGATTTACAAGCTAGCTTTCCTCAGACAGGTATTGTGAAGTTATTTACAGAGTTCAAGACTTAACACTTGGTAGTTTTAATACTATATTAAGCCCCAACCCCCAAATATTTAAAATTAAATTTTGCTGTTTTGTGAATTTCAGTGTGAAAAAGCTTTTTTAGAAGTTTTGCTGGGGCAATATTTAGAAAGTTAGGATAAATAACATGTTAAAAACCTTGTTCAACTCTTTGAATATTTTTCCCATCTAGTTTCTGCTTTGAGTACAGTCCTAATCTTCAAAATTATCAGCATAGAAAATTTAGCATCTTTTTCTGCTAGTAAATAAATGTGTGATTTAAATAACAGTAACCATTTAAAACTCATCCAGTGATGTAAACAATTGTACTTTCTTTTTTTTGTTATTAAATGTTTAAAAAATATTATTTCTAAGTGAGGATCTCACCTCTGATGATGGCTTTTCCTAATTAGTGGAAAGTCATCTAACCTGTCACTTCCTTTTTCTACATGATAAAAGTTACAAAATCATTATGGTATTTGAAAAATTAGTAGTGAGGAGATAGATTTCATAGGTTTATGAAATATTTAGACTGCTCAGATACTGGTCACTGAGTGCAATGAAATACTGATGTTTTTATTTCTTTATTGATTTAACATCAACTTACATCTTGCTTCAGCTTATTAAAAGAGAATATACATATTTTCTTCAAAAAGTAATTTAAAACACAGACAGGTGTATTTTAATAGTCAATTGATCAACCATTTAGTAATGTGATTATTACAGATGCTATGCAGAGCCGTGTTTTAAGGTACCTGCAACAGAACTAAAAGTGAGGCTGTATTGCACCATATAATATATTTTAAAGGTCATGGATATTGTCCAATTGTCATTTTTATTGTGTATGAAATGTATTTACACCATTTTGCATACCTTTAAAGACTCACAAATTATGAGACAAATGTGTAAGTATCTCCCTAACAAGGAGATGTGTTTTGTGTAGTTGTTTGAAGGGATTGTTTCAAGAAAAATAACTTTCTTATGGAATCCTAGACTCATTAAAATAGGGAGAGCAGTACTGCAGGTCTCTTGTCCAATCTCCTGCTCAAATTAGGGCTCAAATTCGGGCCCACACTGCTTGGACTGGGCTTTGTATTTTAAAACCCTCCGAGAACGGATTTGCAGTCATCTCTGAGATTCCTCAGGTGAGATTTGCTCATTTGTGCCCCAGAGTGTTTATCAGCAGTGATACAGAAGTAAAGAAGTCACAGCTGCTGTGTGATGGAGCAGTTTCTGTGAGATGGGAGTGGCTGCTGTAGGTGCAGCTTTGACCACAGGAGTTGTTTCCCTTCTGAGCCCCAGTCTGGACACGCTGTGTAGTGTCAGTGGGAAACAGAGAAAAAAGCTCCAGCAAAGCCAGTGTCTCTGAAGGGAGGGCAAAGAAATGACACTTGAGGTTGGCTTTTGTAACCCTTTTTGCTTGGGTTTTCTTGAGTGTTTAGTATTATATAGGTTAGTAATGAGCCATTTCCAGATGTGTATCACTTTCTTTATGTACAAACATATTTCCCTCCGACATGGTATATTGTATGTTAGCACTAAGATTGCTTTGGATTGTGATGGATTTGATGTAAGAAGCTTTTGGGAAGGTTCTGGCATCTTTCTGAATTACTGTTAAAATCTGATAGATCCTTATTATCCTCCTCTTGTAATAGTTTGCTACTGGAGATCATCACTGTAAATTTTCTGATTATTATTCTCTGGTTTAAGCACTAAACTGATTTTTTTTGAGTCAGTATTTGAGAATAGATTTTCTAAGATAAAAATACATTGTATTGTATAACTGAGCATTGTATTGCTCAGTTGTAAGGACATGTGAGTGTGGTACTGATGAATTGCAGCATCAGAACAATTCCCTCACAGAACACATTTCAGCGTTGACAGCTGTAAAACATAAAGCAACCTTGGCTTACCTGAAAATGGTGGTAACATTGTGACTCATTATATAAAGCATTTAGCAGTAAGGGCTAATTACAATTTGGATTCAGGATTTGTTCAACTGTATTTCTATGTTCTTGAATTACATAATCAAAAGATTGTTTAAAAGAGCCTGTGTGCATCTGGTTTTAAGATTTTTTACATATATATTTGTATATTAACGCGCATACATACATTTTAATTAAAACTTCAGTAAAGCTTTTAAGCACAAACAATCCTAATGGGGTTTTGTTATTTTTATTTTTATTTCAAAGCTTCTGCTAACCTAGTTTAGATATAGAAACTTCTGCTACTATGTTAATGTTGATCATAAGTGTGAGCTTTGTTTCACTGTTACATATTCACAGAAAGTAGTGCAGGGAGGTACCAGCAAAAAAGCTTCCTTTATAGTACAGTCTGTTGTGTTCAGTGAACAAGTAATAAATAAAGTGGCAAAAGCACAGTGAAGGTTTACTGATAGAACTGTACTGACACATTTTTTGCATGGATCTGTTTAGATCTTTTTTGATTTTTGACTTGCAAATATCACAATTTGATTTTAAAATGGCACTATTTGTTAAACAAGATTTTTTTAAAAGAAGTAAATCTTTGTCAAAGGAAATTGCTGCCATTTTCTGTGAGTGCTCTTAAAATGAAAATGTTTCATGTAGGAAGAAATGGTTGACTCTAGACACTTGTTATTCAATGCATAACATTGAAACATTTAAGACCATTTTGAATTAACTTTATCCCAGTCACATCACTGCTTTACCTAGTTTTTGGTGATCTCTATCTAAGTGCAATTATCACAACCCAAGAAAAAGTGTAGGGAAACTGAATTAAATTATATGAGGAGGCATAAGTCAAGTAGTGCTTAATTGAGTACTTTCATGGCTAGAAAATTAGGATGTCTTTTCTTCATCTGGTCCCAGGGATTTTAGCTGTAGTTTCACACTAGTCATGCAGGCTTGCACGTATTTCTGTATCTGTGAGGGGAGGTTCTACCATCTTTGGATTATTTACAGTGCCTGCTGGAACTGTAACCTTCTTTTACCTGGCATAACTCTGAGCATGCCAGTAATTCAATTATCAAGAGTATGTGGCATAGATTTTTAAAATTTTTACATTGTTCCTTTTGAGATGTCCATTGTGTGATTTGCTGCAGGCTGTCATTTTTGTCTGCCATCCAATGTATGTTGGCAGGAAGGTTGTGTACTAGGCTTTGTGTTGGTCACAGAAAAAATTCATGCATCTCAGCCAGACCATTTTGTTATTCCTTTAGAATTAAAGGCATATGAAACAGATGCAGCTTAATAAGTATCTTTTTTTTATAAATAACATTTAAATAACTTAAAACAATAAAGTTCAAATACAACTTAAAATAAAGTTTAATGCTGTAACAACAGAAAAAGCATGTATAAGAATGGAAAAACAATATTGAAAGCTGTATGCCCTAACAGGAATTATACAAAAGATAGGATATGTTACATAAAAAACCTTAATATGTCTGAATTTTTACTTCATTGTTATATAAAATGTTAATTTGTGAAAAGTGAGATGAAGTACATTATTTATTCCTATTTTTATTTTACATACACTATTTGAAACATCTTTTAGAGCAGCATTAGGTATTTGTTTCATTAATAGATAGGAACATTTTGTGTTAGAGTAAACTTAATTTGTCCAAACTAACTCTCTTATCTGAATACAACAATAAACATTTACAAGATTATATTTTTTTGATCATATAGTTTATGTATAGGATATGAGTTTCTTGGGGGAAGTATTTAAAATACTGCTCAGCCTCCACATTTTCTATTGACTTGAAAATCTGACAACTCATTCCAGCAGCCTTAAAGTCTGACATATTTTACACAACATTATCATCTGCTTATTATTATTATAGCAGCCATATTTAAGAAGCAGATAGTTTTTTAAATAAAATATTATCAGATAATCAAGTAATGACTTATTCTTCAGGGTAAATTAATTTAAGAAACTACCCAGTTACAATGACTAAGATAATGATTGTACAACTCTTTAGAATTTTTTACAACTTTTAGTTAGTAAATCTGGTTTTGTGTATATTTTCAAATCTTTTTCATGTAGTCTCTTAAAAATAAAGATAAATGCGCAAGTCCAGCTTGTTCAGTTTCTCAGTAGTATTCCAGCCTCTCTTGGTATCTTGTCAAACAGTCTTCTTAAAATTAATCTTCCTGCTGGAACTAGTTCTTTATAGATCATTTGTGATTAGGATATTGCCAGAGGAAGGAAGTGGGATGCTCTGTGTTCTTTCTTTGTTTTTTTACCTTTCATTGGAACCCCTTTGTGGTTTAGTGTAATAAACATCTCTTTCCCTTTGTGTGTCCATTTTGCAGAAGCATATGTGTTATAATGGTTTTCTTCAATCAGTTCAATGAAGTTGCAGTCCTCATTGCAGACTTTCTGTTGAGAGTAAATAATAAAATATGGTAAGGCAAGAACAAAAGTGTCTTTTAAAATACTTAGATTAGTGAAGATGGGAGAAGAATAGGCATTATAGACCCTGCATATTAGGAATATTTTAATAAATAAATTTTGCCTCTGAAATCCGAGTGTTGAAAATTCTAGCTTTGTGTATTCCCCCTTAGTATTCCACATTTTGAAGAAGTATATAAGACCTAATCATTGAATTTATTAAATGGACATAAAAGTCCGATATGGAATGCATGGGATAAGTCCAGAATACATTTTACTTAATTAGGAATCAATAATAAAAAAGCATACAAATGTTGCATCTCAAAATACCTCTAAGATTGTAGGGATGTACACATAAGAGAAGTTTGCATCCATACCTTTCCATAGAGTCGCCCTGACTTGTTCATTGCCAGAAAATATTCACTTTCCACTCCTTTGATTGCCACTATTCCAACTGCCACCGTGCGGATTTCTAGAATACCTGCAAAGGTACACAGCAAGGGCTGTAAATGCTTGGTTGTTCTCCAGTTAACTCAGGTTTCCTTGAACTAATATTCTGTAGTATTTCCACATTTATTGAATTTATTTTTGGAAAACAGGAAATTTAAGTGCCTTCATGAAAGAAAGGACTTTTAAAATTAGACTTTTTTAGACTTTTAAAATTCCCTGTGTGATCATGTCTGCATAGAGCCACTTTAAAATTGTTTGGTGGTAATTTTTAAGTCTATACTGAAGTTGTGAAGTCAATATTAGTAATTCCTCTATTTTCAGAGAATCAGTGTAGCTTAGAGTTTATCAGGCTCAGGGTTTCATTTGGAATATGTAGTTAGCCATCAAGGTTCACAGAATTTGTGTAAATCCTTTATTTTGAAGTTTTGTGTAGCAGTATCATCCCCTTGAAAGAGTGTAAACCTTAGAACTTGCGAGTGATAGAAAACAGACCACAGTGTCTGAAATAAGATAAAGTATTTGCTTGACCTCTGTGTGCTTTTATGACTGATTGGAGCTGTAAAGATACGTGTATTTGAAAATCATTAAAGGCTGCCCTGAGAGCCTATTTATTCAAAACCAGAAAACATTTAGTGTTGTTTTCTATAACCTGATTTATTTTCATCTCACTGATACATATCAGCAATACTTTTCTGTAGTCACTATGATACATCTAAGTTACCTGCAACATTAAAAATATTTTTTGTTAATATTAAAAAAAAAGTGAAGACGGGAATTATGCAAGTCATTAAGGAACACCAGGTTGTTTTCAAGCTTAAATGTTATTAATGTTTTCTTAAGCAGTAGTTTAGAGTTATATATCTGAGTTTGAGCTATTTCTTTCAATATTGAGCTGCTGACAGAATTCTACCATAGCAACTTCACTAAGGCTCCTTGTCCAAAATGGGGTCTTTCAAAGGCAGCCAACTTGAGGCAAATTGCAAGAGCTCAGCATGGGGGAGACAAGTGAGGGATGTGGGAGAGAGACGTGTGTTAGATTATGACCTGAATGTCCTCTTTAACAAAGCATTTCTTGTTTTTCCCTTTCAAGTTGGCATTGGCTTTTCACAGCCACACAGTAATAGTTTTTTGTTACTTAGGTTTTTAAGAAAGGCATTAAAAATCTATGATATTTCTCCTTCCCCATACATTTTTATCTCCTCTTGCCCTTTGCTTTCCTTCTTGTTGTTTTGCTTTTCTCCTTGATGTTAGTGATGTATCAGTTGTAGAACATATGGGTATATTTTTTGTCCTTTTTACTTTAGCAGATCAGTTCCCTCTTCTCATGGTGTGTGCACTGCTGGGCATTCAGCTCAGAGTGTTTATACTTCTGTACTCCCCTATAATGCTAAGCCAGCTTTTTTTTAAGTAAAACTTTTAGAATTCTTTGACAAGTTCCACTCTTCTGCAGGCCTAGCAATAGTTCTAACAAAGGGTAATTTGTAACCGAAACTTACAAAAATTATAATAACTATCATTTCAATTTCACTTTAGAAAAACCACAGTGAGGCTGAAAAACAGATGAACATCTGCATTTAGCCTAACAAAGAACACAACAGTGGAAGGGATCTCTGGGTCATCAAGTCCAATGCTCTGCTAGCCTGGGAATTGCATCAGATAATTCTCTTTTCATAAACTTTGCCAGTACTAAATTGGAGTTGTTATTTCTTTGCCCCCAGTGTTTCTGCCGAGGGCTGCTCCAGAGTTTGATTTATTTTAATGGCTAGAGACTTCGTAGTAATTTGCAATCTGCATTTCTTCAGTGACAGCTTATATCCATTTGTTCTTTTGCCTCTGCTGGCCATTAATGTAAGGGGAGTTTTTAAAAAAAGTCCATGTTTGAGTTTTCTATTTATACAGAATTTAAAAAAAATAAAAGATTCAAAATTACTTTTTAAAACAAATAATGCTAATAGGAATTGAGATTTCCTTGAGTAAGCTGATGTTGGCTGAAGTTACAGTAGTAAGAAATCTTACTACTTTAAAAAAGGAAATGCCAAAAGGTTTTGTCCAAAGCAATATTATTATTGTTACAATTTCTACATTATTTTTTTAGTTTTTTTCTTTTTGCCTGAAGTAGATTGTGACTAACTTGATGGAGTTATTTTATTTTGGTTTGGGGTACTTGTTTTTCTACTTTATTCACAGTTGAGGCATCACTGTCTTTCCTTGTCTTAAATGAGAAGGTCTCTTCTTATGTGCTTCCTTTTGAAGTAAAGGTGTTTAATCCTTTCAATATCTATTCATGAAAAGAAAAAAGTCACCAAACTAAGATGGGAAAGAGAAAATTCTTATACATAGATTGTTTCATTGAAATACTCTTTTCTTACTCTAGTAACCAAAATTACTTTAAAGGCATGCTTAAATTATTAAGATGTTGATGAGGAGAAATTCAGAAGGCCAAGCTTCAAAAAGGTCTTAAATATCCCTGATTTCAAAATTAAAATGTAAACTATGTTCAGTTGCTTTATCTAAAGCATCCCCAGAGAAGTTTGGAAGAAGTTTAAGAAAAGACTTAATATACCACAAAGTAACTGGAAAAGAAATCAGATTAAAGCTAGGAAAAGAAAAAAAAAACAACCTTGAGATGGGCATCCAAAATTGAAAACAACTGTACTTCCTATAAAATCAGCATGAAATTCCAAACAATTTTATATGGTTGTATGGTCAATGTATCAAATATAGCTTGAAATTCCTGTAGTGAATGAAGTTTCCTACAGAGCTGAAATTCCTCTAGTGTTTGTAAAAGACACTCAGCAGAGATGGGTTACAGTTTGCCTTCAGAAAAGATGCCTGTGGATGGTGGCAGCAGCCTTTGGAACCACTTGGTACAAATTAAATAGCACACAGTTGATATCCAGTAGAAAAAAAAAAAGTAAACAAAAATAAACAAAACAATCCTTTAGGCTGACACAACAGTTTCAGTGGGTGAAATATGTATCGGGTTTTGGAGAAAATTTATGTCATTAATGAGGTGAGTTTCCTGGCATTCTGGTCTAGGATGACAGTTCCTCAGTACTTAGAAGCAGACACTTTTATGTGCAGACTTATTCCATAACCGTAACCTGAATGGCAGGACAGTGCCTCAGGCTGGAAATCTGTGCAGAAAAATGGCATTTAGTTATATGATTGCTATTACACTGAGCATTGTCACATGAGATGATTCTGTCCTGGCAAGTAGTATTTGATAATTTTGTTTTTATCTCCTGATATTGTGTGTTTTCTGATTCAATTCATATTTTCAAATCAGCATCTTCGTTTTATTTGTTAGACTCCTTTTTGCTTTTACAACACACTGACTTCGTATTTGTTAAAACAAATCTTTGCTTTTATTGCTACACGATCTGTTTACAGACTATATTAATTTCCATCAGTGTGCAGGCATAGTTGAATAGGCAGTTTCTTTGTGTTTGCCCATAATATCCTTGGATAAAAGTATCTTATCTATAACAAAGTAGCAAGAGCCTTGTGATTTAGCAAAATAAGGGCATTTCCCTTTGCTCATTTGTCAGCTAGGAGGCTGAAATGGCAATTGCAGCTCTGGCTCCTGAGAGCTGTAAGGAATCTGTAAGTACTTACAGCTCCTGAGAGCTGTAAGTAAATGCTGCTAATGCCTAAAGATCCCACAGGCAGGTGTAACCTCTCAGGAGCTTTTGGAAGAGGAGGGGCAGCAGAACCACAGAGGGAGATCTCTTTCCATGTTCTAGGGAACTGCCCCAGTATGCAGGATTGTTCAGGAAGGTTCTGGGAAGCACACTTTGAGTTCAGTCCCTGTTCAGCTGCCTCTGTTTTCAGACATTTCATATGTTGCAGGTATCCCCTCAGTGTCTATCACATGAGGTTTCTGGTCACTGCTCCTCAGTTTGCCCCAGTCAGTGTCTGTAGACATTCATTCAGAGAGACATTTTGGCATCCATGACATTTTTCAGAAAGCTGACAGCAATTTCATACCAGTACTTTCCTGCCAGGTACATGTGTTGAGGGAGCACATATGATACGTACAGCACTTTATTTCTTGTGGCTCTCTGTGCAGTGAGGTTGAAAAAAGCAGTCTCTTGCTGATTTTTAGGGTAGGGAGGCTGGCACTGGCAGTTCAGCACTTGTAAGGAATGTGTTTGTGAAACACTCTTTCCTCAGCAGAATTGTCTTTAAAAGTAAAGTATGTGAAATCTTAAATAGGGACAAAGGGGCAGAAAAGACTTGGATGGAAAATGAGTCAAAAAAAAATGTAACTTCTAAATTTCACTAACTTGTGTTTCTCATTAATGGAATTTGGAGCACATATTTATGAATTCAAATGACCTTTGCAAATGATTCAAGGCCAAGGAAAATTATCTTGTCTTTGCTTAGAAGACACTGTTTAATGATAAGGAATGTAATTTGTTCTTTTGTTCTGGCACTTAATAAGTTAATTTTTGTGCCTGCTAAAGCCAGAAAATGAGGTTCATGATGGTCAGTCTTGGAAGACTTTTATGATATTATTGGTACATGTGTGCATTTGGTAAGCCAGCACAGTAAATAGCTGGTGTATTACACTTAAATGTTTTTCCAGAAGAATCTTATCAGTGAAATGAATACTTTTATTGGATAGTTTTGAAAGTAATTTGTTTCAGGAAATATTTTTCTTTCTTTTTTTTTTTCTTTTTAACATAGTGCCTATATTGTAAAGTATTTGTGCAATTTAAGTTATTTTGAGTCTTAATATTTTTAAATGGATGCATCGTGAAGTTCATTTTTAGGTAAAACAATTTGTGTGCTCTTTCTCTCAAATATAAAAATATAAAAACTAAAATATAAAAACTAACAGTAGAAAAATATTATTGCAAATAAAGGTCATGATTTAAGATATTTTGTAATATGACTTAATTGTTACCTTTCCCTATTATTAAATTAAAATTGATAGGAAGCAGTATTTGCATTTGTATTGAGTACTTTTTTAGCAAGAGAATGAAGGACTTTCCTAGATGTTACCTCACAGAACTCCTGTTCATA